GTATGAACTGATCTCATTCACAAACCTGGAATCTGCATGTGAAAGTAGGTAGTTAGAGGCATAGCTGCTCATTTGCGTGTGGAAATATTTATTGTATACACAGTGATTGCAAGCCCACATTGTAAGAAAAAAATCAGATCCTTTCAGTCCCATATTGAAATTAGTTAAGATCTATGCATCCCATCAATATTAGTTTGCAGCCTGAGAGAAGCATATGTTCTGCATTATTTGCTTTACAGATAACTTGTAAAAGCAGGGCACAAATCTCTTTATCAGTCTGAATCAATGACTTAGCTCTTTAAGATCTAAACTTCGATTAGTTCCTGTCTCTGTAATCGGCTTACTACAGTTTTTGGAACCAGACATGCCCTTCATGCAGGGGTTTTAGGCCAAGCACTGATCAGCCTGTGCTCTCTTGTCATTACACTGTCAGTGCTATTATACTAATAATAATGCAGGACCCAATCATAGATCCACATGGAGAGGAGACAGTCCATGGTCAGGATTCTAGCTGTGCAGAATGGCTTTGCTGCCTCCATGGCAGTATTTATCCCCTTTCTACTTATGGAGGGTGCTCCATGGGTCCTAGGATCTATAGGGGGAGAGTGGAGTTGGGGAGCATTGCAAAAGCTCCAAAATATTTTACCAGCCTGTATTCTATCTTCAAATGCCACCACAAACCCAGCTGCAGTAGGCTGCTAAACAACCTTTATGATGTAAGGACTTATGTTCACTGCAAGCTTGGTAACAGAAAGCAACAATGAATCACATGCTTTAGTCCAGGGGTAGGCAACCTATGGCACGCGTGCTGAACACGGCACCCAAGCTGATTTTCAGTGGCACTCACACTGCTGGGGTCCTGGCCACTGGTCCGGGGGGCTCTGCATTTCAATTTAATTTTAAATGAAGCTTCTTAAACATTTTAAAAACCTTATTTATTTTACATACAACAATAGTTTAGTTATTTATTATAGACTTATAGAAAGAGACCTTCTAAAATGTTAAAATGTATTACCGGCACGCGAAACCTTAAATTAGAGTGAATAAATGAAGACTCGGCACACCACTTCTGAAAGGTTGCCGACTCCTGCTTTAGTCTAATAATCTTGAAACAATGACCTAAAGGACAAAGACTCAGTAGCCATTACTACGCCCCTGAGTTTGTCAATATCCTGGGAATGAATGTCCAGTTTAAATGCCAATATAACATGCATGTAGATACTTTAATGATGACCCTTTTGCACCACTGTTTAGCATTCCTAGAGGAAACAGCACTCATTCGTAGGGGAGCGTGGAGAGCACCTTAGCAAAGCATATTTAAAATGGCAGCTACAAGAAGGAAGAGGTTGTGGAGGACATTAGGGGCCCACAGTGCAAGATTTTGCATGGCCTGGCAGCTTCTCTGCACTCTTAAGGTGATTCCAGACAAAAGACACTATAGAATTTTATTTTAATGATCTACTACTGTAGCTTAGTAGTGATACTGCAATGTTTGGGGCTATGGTGTAGTACTATGGAATACTCGACGTTTTGTTTAATAGAGCCACTGTAATTCTTGAGTGGGATGGTGTTTTTCTACAGGATGAGTAGGATAGATTTGTGATTTCACCATTTTGTACTGATTGAATTATTACCTTCGATGATGATCAGTGTCATGATAGCACTGAGAGAGCCCAAAGCTAAATGAATTCTTTGCATTAGTCTTCACTGGAGAGGATGAGAAGGAGATTCCCAGACTTGAGCCATTCTTTTTAGGAGACAAATCTGAGGAACTGTCCCAGATTGAGGTGTCAGTAGAGGTGGTTTGGGAACAAATTGATAAATTGAACAGTAATGTCACCAGGGCCAGCTGGTATTCCCCCAAGAGTTCTGAAGGAACTCAAATATGAAATTGTAGAACTACTAACTAGTATGTAACCTGTTGCTTAAATCAGCCTCTGTACCAGATGACTGGAGACTAGCTAATGTGACACTGATTTTTAAAAAATGCTTCCGAGCTGATCCTGGCAACTACAGGTCAGTAAATATAACTTCAGTACCAGGCAAATTGTCTGAAATTACAGTAAAGAACAGAATTATCAAACACATAGTTTGAACACAATATATTGGGGCTTTTGTAAAGAGAAATCATGCCTCACCACTCTGTTAGAATTCTTTGAGGGTGTTAACAAGCATGTGGACGAGGGAGATCCAGTCAAAATAGCCTACTTGGACTTTCAGAAAGCCTTTAACAAGGTCCCTCACCAAAGGTCCTTAAGCACGGTGAGCAGTCATGGGATAAGAGGGAAGGTTCTAAAAAGAACTAGATAAGTTCAGGGAGGATCGCTCCATCCATGTCTACTAGCCTAAACCTCTGCCCAAAACTGAGCCTGGATGACAGGAGATGAATCAGTCAATAAATGTCTTGTTCTGTTTATTCCCTCTGAAGCATCTGGCATTGGCCGCTGGTGGAAGACAGGATACTGGGCTAGATAGACCATTGGTCTGACCCAGTGTGGCAATTCTTACGTTCTTAATTAAGATATGCTCTAGTCACTGAACACACATCGTAAGATAGTCCCTACTATAAATAATTTACAGTTTAAGTAGACAAAAATATATAAAGATAATCTCATCCCAATTTTAGAGATGGTAAGTGAGGCAGACAGACTAAATGGCTTGCTCCCCTCTTCCCCCGCCCCCCAAAACTGGCAAAACCAGGGAACTGAACCTAGATCATTTGCATCTTTGCCCAGTGTCTTAATTAGAAGGCCAACCTACCTCATCTTTTCGCAATTCCACATTAAGGTTGGAGAGATTCTAAAGGACCCATTTCAAGTAGGAAAGAAATGTAGACGTTACTCTTAACATCATCCAGACCCGTGATATGGATGTGACTGAAAACACTAGTAAAATTTGAACCACTTGTAGCTTTGGAAAGAACAAATATTTTAGAGTGACTTTAATGCTGGTTTGAGAGTTTGGAGTGATAGGGCTGGAATCCAGAGAACAGGTAAAGAAGAAATGATAGAGAGAACTCTTGGTTGACCTAGTCAAAGTGCCTCAAATCCTGATGTGGGAGGACCAGCTACAGCAGTGACTGAAAATCACCTCCAAGCCATTCAATCAATTTGTGGCTTCTTAAGGGAGTACTAACAAGGCTATGCCAATTATGTGATCTTTTATTTTGAAAATCTGCTTTTCGGAATTAGATAAACCTTCAACATGGTTCATATCGGCTCCAGAACATCCTTCATGAAGAACAAAGCGGCCTGACGCTTACTCTGATGTGTAGAGCTATGCTTAACACTTAGCTTATAGCCGGATGAACATCTACCTTTTGCACACTGCATGAGGCACTGCAGCATCAGGGCCTTAATGTCCTAGTGTGAATTCAATCCTTAGAATTTCACTGTTCATTATGAAATTAAGCCATCAATTTATGCAAGAAACAGGGTTTTTAAGAAGTGTTTTTCTATTCATGGTGAAGCAAGTATAGATAAAAACCTGTCCTAGCCTGCATCCAGCTCCCAAAAACCTTGCTGTTTTGTGTTAGTAAATCTTCACTGTCTACCTGTGACATTTCGCCCTGAAAGATTTGAAAGTGAGGGGTTTTTTTATGCCTGTCTAGGACTGCACAGTATTACAGCATTCATAAGAGAGGTGATTGTATCATGACAAATTCTTTCACAATTATGAGTAGTATCTAGGCACTGGAAAATTCCTCTATGGACTTGTTCTGGAAAATGTCAAAAAAATTTCTTCCAGTTTTGATCACCCCTTTAACTAGCTTAAAAAGTCCAATTTCTTTGTCAAGGTTCTTGAAGAGAGAGGAGGCAATTTCTCAAGGAATACAATATTAGTTCGCAACCTATCAGTCATTCTTATGAGACAAGCCTTGAGAGTCTGATGGCTGAGGTCTATTAACTGCTCACAAGATTGATAACGGGAAGCTGTAAAGGAAACTGTAGATTTCCAATCAGTTTGATCTTTGAAACGTATAGTAACATCCTTGTAGAAACAGATGCCTGATCTGAATGAGCAGATATTCTATTATAAGATGTATTTTTCATTAACGATGCATTAACCAGGAAGAAGGATATCTATACAATGCAGTGAGCTGCAGTCCTTGTCTTTCAATACATATGTACACTCACCTCTGGACTTACTCTTCTGATTAGTCAGGAAACTGAACATGAAATAGTGGAATATGTAAGTATTCCCATAGATACAGCATGGGTGCAATAAATCTAGGATTTTTAAGTAAAACCAAGTATGGTCCCTCAATATGGAAAGTGTGCATTCCAAGCTGTTGGCAAAGATTTCCTCTTCCAGGGCAAGCTGATCCCAAACTCTATGGCAATGTATTCCGGTTCCTGAAGCTCTCAGGTATGGCAGAATGAAAATTCAGTGACATGTTTTAAAGGAAGTTTTATTTAATTAAATATGAAAATAAAACCAGTAGAGTGGCCCCTTTATTTCTTTTGATACTATTTTACACTGAATCCATGTACTTAGTTTTCATTGTGCTAGATTTTAGTATTGGCTGCATAGCTACACTGCAAAAGAGGCAGGGTCGGACTGGGGGCTGTGCAGTTGGATATAGGACAATTAGTTTTCAACTTCCAGAAAGGTGAACGCGTGAGTGGACAGCACTCTTATTTTTAAGCTGAATTCACAGAAGACTCAAGAGCAGGAGCTCTCTCTCTCCATGGCTTTCACAAGATCACAGTTAAAGGCAATGAATTCAACTCTGGGCATCTAACCAATAGAAAGATGTAGACAAAATGGAGAGAGATCACTTGCTATTGTTTTCTGATTATGGGGCTGGAGGATGTGACAGCTGAGAAAAGATTATGAACTAAGGGTGAAATCCTGGTCCCACTCAAGTCTGTGGCAAAACTCCCATTGACTTCAACAACGAGGGAGAGGAATTGTTTAGGGAAGCAGAAAGAGATAAAACTAGGAATAATAGTTTTAAGCTAAGGAAAAGAAAAATTTAGGATAGCACACACTCTCAGTAAGAGACTGCCTTCCTTTATTAAAAACTAGATTTGAATAAGACAACTTTCTTTGTATAAAGGAAGAATGAAATATTGCTCACTGACAGCATTCAGTTCTGAAAATATTAAAAGGAGAGAGTCTCGTATCTAACACACAGGAGTTCTGGGTTCAGCTCCCATTTGCAAAACTGGGTAGCTTTCACATCTAGACAAACCCTTACATATTATGGTGTTATATACTTCATAGGTATTTCTAAAACATGTTAGAGACTTTTAAACAATTATTTGTATAAGAATATAACCTGGAGTCAAGGATCAGTGCCCCACTGTGCTAGGTATTAGAGAGAGATCTGATCAATGCAGTTTTAATTTAAAGAACAGCTTCTGCTTCTCATTGCAACCAGTGAAGCTTTAAGCCTTTAAATCCAAACAACTTGATGTATCAGAAATCCAAACTTCTTAACTGACACATTTATTTTTTAAAAATTTGTAGCTGAGTTTAGCCTTAAAAGGGCCAGATTAAAGAAATGTTTCTTCATAGTGCTACAGGTATGTGTTTAATTATTTATAGGATAATAGTGATAATAGAATGGTCATGCTCCTTCTCTCAACACTAATCGGTTCCCTCCATAAAACAAAGGAGTCAAGCCTTCCTATACAAAGTCTTTCACTTTTACGTCTAACTTGCTGATTTAAAAACGTATTGCCTGTTTTAGTGAATTAACTATATTCAAATTAACACATTCACAATCTGTTCACTTTCATACATCAGTATTAAGATTGAAAAACGGAATGTCTGAGTTTCAGGGAAATTCCTACCTCATTTTGGGAGCGGTGGGGAGGGTAAAATGAAATTTGAGCTGCTACACAGACAGAGATATGCTGCAGGGGTATGGAATCAGGATTCTGTGGTTCTGATTTTTTTTTACTGACTTACCCTAGCAGCGTGGGCAAGTCACTTAGCATCTTTGAAAGAGGGCTAACGCTATTTCCCTACCTCAGTGGTCTTATGAGAATACGACTTATCTACCAGGGCAGTGGTATTGGGGAGAAACATGAAAAACTAGCCCAATGATTAAATCTATCCACCAGAGTGAAAATACATGCCCTGGCATACTCTGCAATTTAAAGGACTAAGTCGGTTGTGTATTGTCCACTGTGCAAAGTATTTAATTGTAATACTGTCAATCAATTTACTGCCCTCGCTCTTTCTTACAACAATGGGTTACCCTTCCCCACCTCATCCTTCCCAATCATGTGTATTCTGTATCTTCCCCTGTATTTTCTGTCTTTTCCACTTCTCGTTCCAAGATCTCCCTATATTTACACCCTACTTCACCTTTCTAAATCTTACATACACTGTGTTGCAGTCACTCAATTCTGTGACTATATCTTTGGCTTTACTCACCACTGATCCAAGGAATGGCTACTAAAAAGTAATACACTGTTACAAAATATTGTTGCAACAGTTCTTGTTGTACCCTCTTCATAAAGGATACTACAAATTAAATTAAGGTGTATCATTTTATTTGCATATTCTTGTTTTAACAGAATATATTTTAGAAATTATATGAGACGGTTAAATTTAAACCTAAATTTGAGAGAAGCTGCTGAAGCAAACAGATTGCTCCTCTGGAATATAAATTAGCATATTAACATAATATCAAAAAGCAGTTCAAGCATGTCACATAATATATACTATTAAGTTTGCTTTTGTAGTCTTGCCTTTGTACTCTCTGATACACAGACCAAAGTGTTTTCCTTGATGGTTTAAAAACACATTATGCTCATAGAAATTCTCTGCTCGTCAAGAATTTTCATATTCTTCATCGTATTTACTAGAAAAAGCAATGAGTTTTGTAGCTTTATAAAGAAGTCCAGTGACCCAAGTAAACAAGGATCTTTTATTTTGTGCTGTAAAAATAGTCTCAGCGACCTGCCATCCCCTTTAATTTCTGAATACTCTGAAGGACTCTTGCTATGCACAACGATACTGTATTCAGAATTGCCTTTTTTGATGGGTGCTTAGAGGGTGGAGTGAGGAAGAAAGGGAGAATATCTTATAGAAAAAAACACTGAAAAATGTGTTCTATTTTCAGGAACAATTTGTTTAACTTATTTATAGTAAAAAAGGTTACATCCAGCTATCCTCTCCTTTGCGACGAAAGTTTCCAAAACCGCTTAGTTTTCTCAGTTTTCTCCTACGTAAATGCTTTTGAAATGAGTTATAAGATATGGCCAGAAACCAAATGTAAAATTTTAAAATTTAAACAGAGCACAGCTTAAACCTGAGCAATTTGCAAAGGAAATATCTGTAAGATTATTTTCACCAAGAGAGAGTCTATTTTAATGACAAAAGTCATTTCAATGGACAGCTTCAACGAGAAAACTGCCGGCTGTCTGACTTTTTCTTGTTAACGTGTTTGAAGATTTTGGATTTGTGGACATTCTTGGATTTCTGGTAACCAAATCCTCCACCTCCGCCTCTTTTTTGCAATCTTCTACCTTGGCTGCTGTTCACATCTAAGAATTTTTGGTTAAGGAATACAGACAATAAACATTAAACCAACTTAACTGTCACATTTTTCAGTATGGTGGGATGTTTTCAGGGGAAAAGAATAATACAGTGTGCCTGGCATTTTACAGAGCAAAAACTTAGTGGACGCAAGGGTGGAGAAAACCTGTCAAACTAAAAACTCACCTAGTGTTGGTTATTCCTTTGATTGTTTTCTATTTTTCCTTCTTTCAAATTGTTTAACTCTGTTCCTTCTCACACAATGGACGGTACTAAAGCTAGAAATGGGTCAGCCTTTACCCCCAGTAGTTCTGAAACAATTTGAGCAGTCCCTATACTTTTCTTTCCCCAGGACAATACGCCACAACCATTACACTGAAGTATGTATCTCATTGTGCAAACCCCACATTAGTAAAAGAGGAAATTACTCTCAAGAATATACATGTAATATTCCCAGATCCACTATATATGCAAAAATTAAAATGCTGTTATTCTTGCCCTGCCTTACATACATAGTCATGAACAAATATTAAAACTGGCAAATAACTGGTTAACTTCTTCTATAAAACTATTCTCTTAGGGTTAGGACATGCTTAGATAATTAATAGTAAAACTATCATTTGCACTTGGATACTTCAGTGATGTGCATATTAGAAATGTTAAGCAGAGAGATAAATTAGTTTTGACACATTGCGATAAAAGGATACTGAGATCAACAAATGGAGGGACTTTGAAACCAAACGAAAGGGAAACTTTGGGTAGATCCAAGTTATTGACGTTATAGATCTGTTTCAGAGAATGGGAGTCATAAGCTCTAATGTATGCTTTGTATGCTTCCTGGGCTGACTTGTGAAGGAAATAGTTCTTCTCAATCAATTTTTCAAGCTGGAAAAAGAAAGGCAAGACAGTTGTATCCAATTATGGCTGTAACCAGTTTATAAATTATACAGCAAATAACTCATTTTGCTTGTAATTTGCAATGAGTACATTAACCATAATATTCACTTCAGAAAAATTGATAAATTTGTATTTCACTGTAATAGTTCAATGTGTCTTTATAAATCAGAGGGGAAAAAACAAATTGAATTACATTACATAGCCTCAAAAAGTAATCTTAAAAAGTATTGCAAAAATAATGAGTTACACTGTCTGAATGCATTCTCTTTAGCGTAACTTTATAGCTATATTTAGGTGGTACAAACAAATCTTAAAACTAGGGAGCTTGGAATTAATGGACAAAGGTGGCCTACGAAGATATGCATATGTTGCTGGATTCTACCACTAAAACAGGCAATGTTAGCTTCTCCCTTGATGCACATCTGAATTTTCTCCTTAAATTGAAGGTTTTTACTATTTAGCATTGACAAGACTTATTGTTCTCCATGTACCAACTAACAACAAATATTCAAAAAAGACTGCAAAATTCCACAAAAATAATAGACCAAAAAACCGCCAGTGCCCAAATACACTGCTTCACTAGTTTCTGCATTTAGAATCAAAAGTGACAACCTTCTGAAAAATAAACAGAGCCTCTCTCTGAAATTCAACTCAACTTAAGCAGAACACAAACTGAACGGTGAGCTCATCAGTTCTGACGCTCTAAGTCAAACCATGATCTTGCTGAGTCAGGATTTCAAGCCAATTGAAAAATCATATTTATAGAAAAATTATTGCATAAAACCAACATTTATGTATTAACTGAAAAACAGCTCACTCCAAATTTTAAAATCTTTTTTTTCTAAAATGTAATTCAAATTAGTCATTTTTATTACTGAATGTATGTACGTATAACATGGAATTCTTCCCACATTTACAAAAAATGCCTATTCTAGTCTACTTAGATTCCTACTCCATGCTCGTCACCTTATAGCTGAACATTAAGCAGATCTATCTTCCACTGGATTATGGTAGCATGTAAATCAGGCCAGTTAAACAGGTTCCTACTATGCATTATAGAATTTACAAATGTCATTTCTAGATTTTCCTGTTCCTGTAGAGGCACAGAGTAATCCTTTTATGAAGTATTACATTACTGAAAAGTAAATGGAACACGTACATTTATTCAGTAAGGGAAAAAAACCCCTACATTTATTGTGCTAGGTACACACACTTTATCCACAAATATAAACCTCTATTCATAAAGTCAAAGATATACTTAAAATTACTATGGCAGATTAAACTGTCATATTTTTAAAAAAGAAAAAGACCTGTTTCTAAACAGGCATATATGTTCATTCTCACTGAAGTCAATGACAGGTAACCTGTATGTTATGAGGGCAGAATTTGATACTTCAAATGAAAATGTATCTGAAATTATAACATGGTGTCATAATAAAGTCATGGATAGCTGTAATGACATGAGGGCTTAGCACTTAAGAGCAAATATCTAGAGGAATCTTTCAAATAATGTAAGCACATTTCCACAATTTCTTTAAACCTTCAATTGCTTTGTAAGAGCAGGCTAGTCTATATCTATAATCGTTTTCATGTAAAAATTCAGAGAACTAATATGAGATAACTTTATACCTGAGACTGGATGTCTGAAATTTTGGACCAGGAAAATTCAAATTCACTTAATGGTACCTACACACACACACACCAAAAAAAAAAAAAAAGGTGTTTAGATAACTCTTACACAGTATTATATAGCCTATATAAGAAGGTATAAGTAAAAGTTACAGCATTCACCTAAAGAAAATGGTAACTAAGGCCCCATCTACACTAGAAAAAGTTATACTGGTATACCGCTGTCCTCAGGAGCCAAAAAATCTTACCTCATTACAGGTGAAACTGAATTATATTGAACTTGCTTTGATCCACCGGCGTGCGCACCCCCCACTCCCCCCGGAGTGCTGCTTTACCGCGCTATATCCGAATTCGTGTTATATCGGGTCGCGTTATATCGGGGTAGAGGTGTATAACTTTAATACTGGTAACATGCCCTAGTGTGGACACAGTTACACTAGCATAATATCTTACACCAGTATAAACACTTTTATATCCATATAATTGTGGTCCACACTATGTGGTTTTGCCACTTTAACTATACTGGTATAATTAAAATAGCAAAATGTTCTAATGTAAACAAGTTCTAAAGGACGGCAAGTTAAGAATATGCAGATAGTTGACTGCTTTTCATTATTCAAATAATGTCCTTTAAAAGTTCCAGTAAGTATTTTTGCAGGGCTTTTTGCTGCAAAGCATTCTATCACCAGGGTGAGAATAGTGGGTTTTCCACAGTCAGGTTCTGAACTTGAAAACGATGGAAAAAGTGAACCACTTTTTCTATATGAATAAAGGCTTGAGATAGGTATTTTGAAGGCATTTCAGTCTCTTTCCTGCTGCTATAGAAATATCAGGTTTTTAATCAGAGCACATCATTAGCAGCAATATTTACACTAATGTTCTTCTCATTGAAGGGACATTTCTCCTTTATAGTAATGAAATGTGGTAGTGACTCAGGGCTGAGAAAACAAATGAGGAATTGGTAAGTTTAGCAGCTGTCCTGTCTTTTGATATACTACTGACTGAAACTTGTGATTTTTTTCCTGCCATTTCTTAAAATAGAGACTTTTAAAAATATATTACTAGGGTTGTGTCTTCCTTGTTTTTGTTGGGAGCACCACGTACCTAGCGGCTTTGGTAGAGGACTCTCAGAAACATTTTTTCCCTTTTACAGCACATCGTAAAGCTGCATTGTCAAGCGATTCCAGCTACACTGGAATTTAAATGATTATTTAGTTTCTATTGCGGTGGCCACCTTGCATTTCTATTAAATTATTCAGTTAAACATTTTCTAAGCAATAAAATGGGTTTCGGTTAAAATACTGAAACACTTGATTAATCATTACAGTTTCTACATCAAAAAATTCCAGCAGCATAGTAAAATACTATACACGACTTTACCCTGGCTTGCTTTAGGTAACGAAGGAAACCCAATTCTTCTGGTCGTAAAATGAGTAGAGCATGTCCTCTGCCATTTATACCTCTGGCAGTTCTACCAACACGATGAATGTATTCCTTTTTGGAAAAAGAATAGTTAAAAATGTAATAATTTGAAATCAAAATTCTTATGCCAAGTAATTTCTTTAAAATTAACACTATTACTATCTCCAGAATATGCTAATATCAGTGCAGATGATGGTCAAACTCAACATTTAACACCATGCAAAATAAATATTTCCATGGTCTTGGGTCAATGGGATCTGCTTTTGACTCTTGCAAATGTGAATAGCCTAACAGAAAAACAAACTTAATAGTAATACAGCTATGGAGTCTCTCATCCATAATGATGTAAATTCTGCTCATCACATTGAAATCTACTGATAAAGAAACCAAGAGCTGCAAACCTGAAGCACTAGGTTTGATGAAGAGACACTCAATTAAAAAAAATCCATTTGAAAATATTTTACTTATTATTGTTATAGTCAACATCTATGATTACTGTAACTAATTTTTCTATTTTTTTTTTCAGTTTGGTTACTTTGTGCAGTTGTTTGTATGGGTCTTTCACCCAGTAACAGGAAGAAAAACTAAACTGGAAAATAGGGACTTTAAAAAAAAAAAAAAAATCACAAAAATTGTCAGGGGGACTTAAGGTCAAGCATACAACTTTATACTTCTTTTGACTCATTTTTAAAATTAACTAAACTAAAAGTCTAAGTACACATAATTTTTTCCAACAGGCAATCATTTTAAAAGCATGCTGAATGCTTCAAATAAGTGGTGCATTCAGCACATGAATTGTAAAATCAAGCATTTTCCAGGAACAACAATAGAAAGTCAGTTGTTTGATGCAAACCCTGCCTGAGCCCTAACAGTTTTCTGTAGAAGGGTAATTAAGTCCATACTTTCTCCAAAAGTGTGGAACGTTAAAGACAAATCAGAAGCATTTGCAGGAGACAAGTTACCTTTGGGTCATCTGGAGGGTCATACTGGACAATCCAATCAACTTCAGGAATATCCAGTCCTCTGGCAGCTACATCAGTGCACAAAAGTATTCCAGAATCTGCATTACAGAACTGGAAAAATGTGGTGGTCCGTTTAGTTTGTTTCTGCTTGCCCTAGGAGAAAACATATTCAGGATTGAATCAACAACGAAAAAATTCTGCAAATCAGCCTTCAGAATTATAGGTTTACATATACACAAGAAATATATTCTCAGACACTGTGTGGTTACTAAGAAGATTTAAAGCAATGTGTTAAAGCATCTTTCCATCTAACCGACTCATACATACCCACACATCCATGGCTTTTAAAAGCAGAACCATTTCCATAGTGCATAAACAAAGCAGGCTGATGTACAGCATAGAGCAACATAAATGCTACTTTGGAGGAGGTTACATTGTACATTCTAAAGCAGTAAGTGCTCAATCCTCCGAACACACAATGCAATGGGACTAATTCAAGGGCTTAAAGTTAAGGATATGCCTAATTGTTTGAAGGTTCAGAGAGTGAAACAGTAACACTTGCAAGATTACAGAGAAATAGAAGAACAATAAGATTCCTTCCTCCTCACCCCTGATTTAGCACTTCCATTCAGAATGCAGCACAAAGACCTTAGGAGGACCAAAAAAAAACCCCAAAACAAACAAAACACACTGAGGTGAGTTAACAACTCAATTATGTTTGTTTCATAAGGTATTTATCACCTTAAATCAAATATACAATTAGTCCATATTCCCAACTATTTAGGGCTGCAGTTGTGATAATATAACAAAATAAAAACACGTATCCAAGTGGGGATGCAATGGAAGTCAACATTTAAAAAACAATTACCAACTGAAGAGATGCCTGAAGTGTGTGGCAAAAAAGAATTATTGTTTCCTTTTTGCAAATTCTACCAAATATAATTGCAAATTCTACCACGTACCCAGGTGGCTTGCTTAGTAAAGGGGAGACTATTAAGCAAGGACTAATGCTAAACTAAAAAACAATAGTAACATTAATTTCCACATAGACAATGAAAAGCTCCACTACCTCCACAACATGGAAGCGTCATGAAATCATTTTCAGTGAGCAAACTTGGAATCTCTAAACTTGATGTTTGATGGAAAATGCCCTTTTAACACACAACTCCATCTCACTGACAGAAACCTTGTTCTTCAGGTGCATATTTAAAAGACCAGCTTTAAGAGAAAGCTGGTTTGAAAGGGTTAACTTAAGAAAATACTTACATGAATGGCCATGACTGGCAAGTCGATATAGTTGAGTAGTTCATAGTGGTATTTCACAGACATACATGACGAGAAAAATACCATCAGCTTTTTCTTCCGATTCTTCTTGAGGAATGTGAAGAGCAGAAGGAACCTTTTTTCGGACGGACACACTACATATCCCTGGAAATCATTCAAGGCCAGTTATTTAAAACATGTATGAAATATGCTTTTGTTTCAAATAACTCAATTAAGTCAGTGCAAACAAATGGAGCTTTAAAACATATAGTTTAAGTCTTTGGTTCTACAGCAATATTAAACAAAACTTTCAGACACCTATGTTCCCTTTTTCCCAGTCTCACCTTCTTGGGAACTGACATCCATATAGTACACTTAATAAATTATCTAATGAAGAGACGCATACTAGGGAATTATTGATGAGTAGAAGTTATGTTATTTATACAACAACAAAGATGTTCCAAGATTTTTTTATCACTGTAAATAACACACCTTACAATATCTATCTATCTCCTGGGTCCTTAAAATTCAGAACTTTTTTCAAAGCACATTATTTAAAGAGAAATTCTGCTACTGATCCAGTCTTTGGCATCTATGGAAAGGTGATGTAACAACCTGTAATTCTGCAGCAGCCCTCCTCACCTCACAGAATTGAAGAGATTGTGAATTGGAGCTCTAATTCCAAAGCTGTTGGTATTGCTTATCTTGCAACATCTACTAAATGTAAATAATTCCTTATAGGTGGCTAATGCCAGAGAGATTTAATCAATCTACTAGCAGTTGTCCAACCAGGATGACCAAAGGCCACCTTAACTTTAAGACTATACTTTACATTTATAGAATGCACATAAAAATCGATGTTTAGAAGTAGTTTGTGCACATATTACATCTATTTTTACTAGTATATCTGCTTAACTTTACCTGTTCAAGACCATCTACTGTCGCTGTTTCCTTGTTATCATCAACCCCAACATACAGTGGCTCCTTTTTCAGCGATATCTTAGCCAGGTCTTCAACCTTTCGGGTTTGTGTAGCAGAAAAAAGCATGGTCTGTCTGCGCTCTGAAATAATTCACAAAATTAATCTCACTTTCGCAGAGGATTATGCAAATAGCAGAGACACAAGATGCAGTTGCGGGGCTCCTGGTGTGTGTTTTGCCTGTTTTCCTCAGTGGGTGGGCAAATATAGGTTTTACTATATCATGTCTGTCTCTACTACAACCACTATCAATGTAATTTACACTATGTAGTACTCATGACCTACAAAGCAATGCTTGTTTTAAAAAACATTTAATACCTATAAACCCTAAGCAGTCCTTTCCCTTCAGGGGCAGGTTAATATTCATTTGCACTGCTGTTTATACAGAAAATAGCAATCAGACCAAATCAGATTTTAATTCTAGCTAGTATAACTGCATATTTTTTCATTCATATAAATATCAAATACTTTTTTGCATCCTCAAAAAAACTTCTGAAATTCATTGCAACAAAGTAACTAATATGTTATGCAAAAAAGTATTTATTTTATCAGTTTTACACAGTTTTGCCTTTTAATTTAATTTCATGGTACAGAGGTTATACCATACCACCATACCTTACATGTGTACACACATTACTTTTGCTGTGTGGGACAACCCCTCTGCTGAGCCTTGCTGACCTCACTGGGACTGTGCACAGGTGCAAGGGGCTGCCTGCCTGGATCCCATTGCCTTACACAAACATAGGCACTGATCCTGAAATATTTCACTCTTGTCTAAATGTATGGGGGTTAGGGAGGAAATCAAGCACAATCCCTTTTACTTACGATGCAAAGAACAATAACAAAATTGATTCCCTATAGTTTTAGCCTCTCTAGTTATCAGTATGAGTGGCTATTCTACTTGTCTCTTGTTGTTTGGTTTTACATACTGCATATTAAGTTGCTACTACTCTTAAATACATCAGACTGCATATTTACTAAAATGCACTTGTTTCATGTTTTCCTCTGTTTCTAAGATGAAAGAGTTCTTCAGTGGTTCGGAGAAAGACTGCCTGCTGTAAAAGAGCAATACAAGGAGTAATAGGATGAAATTTAGAAAAGGGAAAGAAAAAAAAATCAGGTAAGGATCAGGATAAATTTCCTGAAGTATAGTCTCTGAATATGTGTAGGAGACTCCCAAGTGAAGGGATGGAAACCTTTTAGCATGCGACATTTAAACTGTGTCAGAAAATACTGTACGGTAAGAAACAAGCCTGCATTGGCAGAAAGATGCCCTAGATAAAAATGAAAGATACCTCTTATGTTAAAGAAATAATATAGCCCATAGAAGTTAAGGTGCCCATGAAAAGCCTGTCCTTCAGATAAATGATGGTCTGATGGAGTGCCTACCCCACACAAGTGATGAAAGGGTTAATGTGGTTCTGAGACCAATTAACCCACCTGGTTACACATGGGGGATGGGTCAACCCTAATTAATGATGAAACCAGCTGGGTTCTATAAAGAGAGGAAGTTTGGAGCAGAAGGGGGCTGCAGGGAGAAATGCTGCTGTCTCTGTCCTGATAGTAGGGAGTGACAAGACTTGTGGGAAATAGGAAGCATTTTGTAAGGTGAGGAGAAAGTCCACAGTAGGGCTTAGTAGGAAGAAGTCCAGGGAGGAGACAGCAAGGAGTATGGTGGAGTGAACCTTGACTGCCTGTCCTAGGGTCCCTAGATTGGAACCCAGTGTAGCGAGAGAGGCTGGGTTTCCCTACCAGCCACCGGTAAGGTGGCGTAAAGCTCTGAAAATGAGATATGGACTAATGGGAGCCCTGGGAAAAAGATGTATGGACCACTGGACCCAGAATTGAGGGTGGCAGACTGGATGGAGGGATCAGACATTTGTTTTTGCTGGACTTTATCATCCCTGATGGGATGGGACTAAATATGACCTGATCAGAAGGTTGAGTTGCAAGAAGAAGCAGAGCACTGCAGGCAAAAAAAGACTGTCAGCAGGGGGTGCTGTACGAGGAGAGCCTGCTAGCCCACATCCAGCCATAAGGGGGTGCTCCAGTGGTGAGTTGACCTATCTATAGATGGTAAAATATAACAAGTTTCTGCTGACTACTGAATTAAGGGAGTGTGGGGGTGTGTGTGTGTGTGTGTGAACAAGCATTAGAAAGTGTAGGGCAATCGTTTCAAGACTAATACTAAAACTACTATACCCAAAGCCTTGTCTCCTAGTTCTCTTCTTCCTTGACCAACATGCTGCTCAGAGGGTAACATGATTTCTAGGAATGACACAGATTTTTACTTACTTGGCAGAAGTTTTATGATCTGTTTCATTTCTTCCTCAAACCCAACCTCCAGGATGCGATCGGCTTCATCGATTACCAGACACTGCAGGTTCTTGAACATAAACCCGGGGGTGTTCTACAAGATTTTAATGAACACAAAGTCAGCCAGAGAATCTACGTATAGGTGGGATTTTTTTGTTCTGTTTTGTAAATACATAAGGCTACCTGATATTTTACCTACCTGCATGTGGTCCAGAAGTCTACCTGGTGTTGCCACTATAATGTTGATCCCATTTGCAAGTTTCTGTGCCTCAGCTGATCGGTTACTGCCTCCCATTATCAGGCCGTAGGTGTGAACATGATGAGTCATCAGTTCTTTCAGAACTCCATAAGTCTGCATGGCAAGCTCTCGAGTAGGTGAAAGAATCAGAACACCCGTTCCTAAAAAAGAAGTTGCTCATTTCAGCAAAAATTAAACCAAGTAATCCTTCCCTCTCTCCCTAAGAATAACTTCAACTTAATTGAGAAGCACAGAGAGCGCCTTACCATTCCTAGGCATGAATCTTAACTTGTAGATGAGCTCTATGGCAGGAATGAGGAAGGCAAGTGTTTTGCCACTGCCCGTTTTTGCAGCTGCTAGAATATCTCTGTAGGTGTCATAATTAGGAAGAAAATATTTAGTTTTTCATTGTCAGCAACATTTAAAATTTTAGTTACTTTTGTAGAGAAAAAATTAACAGCTCAAAGGTTTGATAATGGTAAGTATTTAGCCATTCAAAAACAGCCCTGGTCAACTGTGACTGGAACCATCCAATCAAGGCAGAGAACTTTGGTCTCGAGAGCAGTCAGAATTTGCTATGGGATTGGCTCAGAGACTCTCTCTCCCCCCGTGACTGACATTCCACCAGTTATGTTCGATGGGAACAAGAGATGGAACTTTAACAGGTGTAGGACTTACACCAGGGTTTCTCAAACAGGGGTTGCTGCTTGTGTAGGGAAAGCCCCTGGCGGGCCAGGCCGGTTTGTTTACCTGCCCAGTCCGCAGGCCCGGCCGATCACGGCTCCCACTGGCCACGGATCGCTGCTCCGGGCCAATGGGCCCGCGCCGCTTCCAGCAGCTCCCATTGGCCCGGAGCCACGATCGGCCGGACCTGCGGACGGGGCAGGTAAACAAACCGGCCCGGCCCGCCAGGGCTTTCCCTACACAAGCAGCGACCCCTGTTTGAGAAAGCCTGACTTACACTATGGAACTCACTCACAAGAGACAGCAAAGATCACAGACCTCCCCACTTTCAAAACTAAATGTAAAACTAATTTCTACTGAGCTTTCCCCTCAATTTCTTCACACAAACCATACAAGCACAACATGGACACTCGCACAAAGTAAACAAATAAGCCTATCAACCAAACAAACTTTCTCCAGAAGGCTGGGAAGAAAGCAAGCAAATGACGAATTAATTCTACTTGGGAATTATGTGGAAGTATTGGGGAAATATGTGGAAGACACTAGTACTTGGGTAACGGGGAACCATATATAAAGTACTTAGAACACATGAGCACTAAAAAAACCACGACTTTTCTAAAAAATATTACAACATAACTCAAACAATCCAAATAGCTTGTATCCCAATACTTTTAAAAACCTTTATTTTTATATAAAATATAAACACATAATGAAACAAAACATATATAAACACATGCACAAGATGGAAATACCATATAAATAACATGTTCAATATTAATTATTTGTAAAACCTTGGGCGGGGCAGGGACGGGTCCCTGAACCTGTAGTGGTCATGCAGGGCATCAATTATTAAAATGACTAAATAGACAAATAAATGAGAACATAACCTATCAGTATTAGGGACTAATATATACTAAATTGCAAAAGTATTCAATAGTTTCATGTGTGACCAGAAATTCTCATTCTTTCCGAGCATTTCTATTAGAATTTTTCATTAATGCAGTAGCAGATATGTCACTAAGCCAGTCTGTGTACGAGGGTGGAATTGCAATCCCAATACTTTTAAGGTGTTTGCCTTTCACATAGAGACAAAACTGAGGTGGAATTTTAATTACACATGCTCCTTTATTTAAAAAAAACAAAAATCTCTTTCTTACCTGCCTTCCAGAAGGGGTTTAATACTTTTATGTTGAATTTCTGTCATGTGTGTAAAGCCCATATCAGTTATTCCTTTCAGCGTGTTCTCGCTGACTAGATCAGACAGTGAAGCAAATGAGGTGTCTTCAAAAGCACCTGAAGAGAAACAGTTCATCAATCATCTCAACCTTGTTTCTTCAAAACCTGCCCACCCTCATTGGCTACTTGGCTAAACTGATCTGGCAATTAACAAGTTAAGTTTCAAGTTACTGTATCTGATTACTACAAGCAGTTTTGTCCTATGCAGATTAGTACCACTTCATCATTAAGTTAATAAGAAAAGGAAAACCAGGGGAACTAAGACAAATCAAACATGTAAGTGACATAAAAACCTCTTAAAAAGAGCAGGCCCTCACAAATGCAAATTAACATTCAACTTAGAAGAATCAGATATTTGCCAAACGTTAACAAGAAAAACCTACTGCAGAAACTTTCAAATTTCAAAGACACCTAACTTTAAGTACCTAAGTTTGAAAAAAAATTACTTACTCTAAAGAGAGTTTCAGAACTTGCGTTCTGGCTCTAGGCAAAAAGAAAAACAGATATGGAAACTCTGACACAAGTTACCTGTTACACCAAGAGGTAAACTGGGCTCTTCGGTATCTTCATCCATTACTTCTATCTCTTCAGGATCCTCATAATTTTCTTCCACTTCAGGATCCTTACTATCTTTTGCATCTTCCATGTCTGCAGACGCTTGTTCTTCAGTCTTTGCTTTTTTAGTTTCTGTACCTGCAATTAATTTATTTTTTGAGAGAACGAACATACAAACAAGTCACACTTAGATATATTCTTTGCAACCATTATAATAAAAAAAAGAGATAATGGGATATTTATTCCCCCAGTACGTAAATCACTCATGCACATTTCAATATAGCAGGAATTTCATTTTAGTTCATGCTTTTTTATCTACCCATAGGGAGAAAAAAAATTGTTTCAGGAAGTCATCCCATAAGCTAGGGCAGGCAACACTGCATCAGTTCATATTCAGAAGGTGTGTTCCCAACCAAGGAGAGAGAAAAAAATTTAAAACAAAGTTTAAAGTTACTTCCTTTCCTTTGCAAAGCAGGCAAGTGCATTAGCTTAGCAATATCTATAGGATATAAATATTAGTTTACATTCACTGTACACGCGTTGTAAATGTGTTATAAAAGGTTGGGAAGAGGTGCTCCTGAACAGAAAAACATGAGGTACACAGTTAACTCTGGAAATCAACTACAGAGCAAAGTTCCACTTCTTAACAGCAAATACTGAAATATTTTAACATCTGTATAATGGAGTATGTAACGTAAAACGTTTTCTCTATTTAAGAATAGATGAAAAAGCAGAATCCCTGTTCAACAAGTAGACTAACTCTTTAATATGCATTAGAGTATAGTTCTCTCATTTAGAGGAAAAACACGCTTGTTACAATATGTAAATCACTAGCTATTAATATACATTTACATTTTAAGCTCAATGATTACTTTGATTATTTCCCTTAAATGATAGTGCAGATAGAATAAATGACAGTCAACTTGTTTTTCATTTAAAAATAATTTGATGTGTTTGAAATCTTTACTTATAAATACTACATACATGAGACGCAAAAACATCGAGGCTATGCCTACACTACTACTTATGTCGGTATAGCTCATGTCGCTCCGGGGTGGGAATAAGCCACTGAGTGACCTAAATTACGCTGACCTAAGCGCCTTTGTGAACAGTGCTATGTTGGCGGGTGGGCTTCTCCCGCTGACACAGGGACAACCTGCTCGTTGGGGTTTAATTAATTAAAAGTTGACAGGACAGCTCTCTCCCGCCAGCTTAGAGCGGCTCCACTACAGAGTTTATAGTGGCGCAGCTGCACCGCTCTAAGCTTTCTAGTATATCCATAGGTATCATTCATCAAATTCTGTTGCATGAGTTTTGTAGGGTGAGAGAGAAAATTATTAGGCCTTTCAGTGCAATTCCTAAGTATATTTTCTAATGCTTTGTCCAGCTTGATTTTTTTTTTTTTTTTTAATGTGTCATGTGGTGGGGCTTCACCAACTAACCTGGAGAAAATATTCTGTTATAGTAGCATTTGCTGTCAGGAATATATTTCTGATATTCAGTTTCTCAGAGTAGTATTACTTTGCAGTTCTATTCATCTGAGAACCTCATAGCACTTTGCACTTGCAAATAGTTAACACTTGTAGCCTTGAAAATAGGAAACAGATGACTTAGGTTGTAAATTCAGGGGGGAAATCAGTAGCAAAGATCATGAGTTATTCAAGCTGACGTGGGGTCTGTGAAAATCATGACTTTTTTAAGGTTATGTCTAACACTATGAGCTAGGGGTGTGATTCCCCTGCTCACGTACACATGCTCATGGTAGCTCAATAAGAGCTAGCAAAAGTATAAACAGTTGTGTATTCACAGTAACTTAGCTGTGCGGAGTCTAAACCTGCCTGAAACCAGTGGGTATGTACTTGGCACAGCCTAGTCCCGTCTCCAGTACCTGTGCTACCATGGCTACACTGCTATTTACACTTGCACTAGCTCTCATGGAGCTACTGCATGTATGTATACATGAGCAGGGGAATCACACCCTTAACTCAGAGTAGACAAAGCCTTAGAAGACATCAGACCAGTTTTCAGGACAGGTTCAGTGCTATCCTTATTGTCCCTATGCAAGCTTTCTTCCAGCCAACTGTAGTATTGAAGCTACAGCCTACTACCTCACCAGTATGACCTCTGTTCACAGTAAGGGATAGCTCAGTGGTGGGAGAGGCAGTGTAGACTAAGCATACGACACTAGAAGATCCCTGTGTTCTGATCCCAGATCAGACAAAGTTAACCACTTTGTCACACTACTTGACCTCTTTTCCTTACTTTCCATACATTTCAAATTTAAATGCTTAATATCTTACTTCACAGAGGGGGCTGTGATGACTAATTAACATTTACAACTACATGTGTTAGGATTTTATTTGTATTGCGATGAATCTAAGGCATATGACTGTTTACAGTTTATTTAGATACCTGTCCCTTCAAAGCTCTTTCTTAAAGAGTGAAGTATTCAGAGATTCATCACAAACCTTTGGGTAACACTCCTCTTGCAACAGAGAGATAGGGGTACCTAGAAGTCTTCTAGCATATGATTTACATAAAATTGGTCACATCTGGATATAACCCCTAGGAATCATCACACTAAACTTTCCAAAAATTCTCAGGAGAGCCCTAGGAATAGCTGCAAGATCAACGCTGGCAGAAGTTGGTTATACTAGCGGAGTTTTGTAGGCCCATTCAAAGACACTACTGACAGCTTAGGGTGGAACTCAGAGGATAACATTTTAAGTAAGACTGAAGATGACATACCCTGTTCTGTGTCAATCATTTGCCTTTTTTTCTTCTTTTTCTTCTTCTTTGACTCAGAATGTTTTGCTTCTGCAGCTACTTCACCGTTAGCTATTAGTTGAGGTTGCTTTACATTCTTCACTTTAAGGTCCTCCACTGATTCTTCAGAAATGACATTGTTCGTAGCTTCCTCAGACGGATCCACAGATCTTGTCTCCACTAGAAGAAGCAGGAATGGCAAATCCAAAATAGAAAAGAGGAAGGCAATTAAAAAAAAAAACCCAAACATTTACAGTTTAATCAAAATACTGGAATTGTTCAGAGAAATGGTATTAGTCACTAGCTAATATCACAGCACCTGGAACTCTGCAGTGGTGGTAATATGCACAGTATTAATAACAGTCAGTAGTTTGATGCGTGAGAATACACTGGGAGCTGCAGAATTCCAGAAGCTCTGACCATTCACAATTCCAGGATGGTGCGATTACTAGTTGGGCAGGTGCTTTATTAAACCCGTGGAAGACCGAGTTCAAAGTTCTCTCTGGTTTAGAACCTGGTGTCGCTGTTTCAGCTTGTAGTCCAGGGACAACTAGCTCTGCAACACCACCTCCATTTTCAAAAGTGGCCACTGATGGAGAGAGCTTCCGTTCTTGACTGTCCAACATGAGAGCATCAGGGCCTCATTTCCAGAGGAGCTGAGCAGCCACAACTCCAAATGACTTCAAGGGGACCTGCTCCGCACCCCTGAAAAGCAGGCTGGGGGTGTTTCCGCAGGACATTCATAATCACTAGTGCTAACCAGGAGGGGCCACGTTTGAAAAGGCGAGGCCAGGGACACAACTGACATTTACCACAACCACCAAATAATGAGCTCGGGCCGGTTCTACAGCTACAATATCGCCCCCCGCGATCAGCAGCGTTCACAGGCGCGTCCCGGCCCCCCACGCGTTCCCGTGGGCACCCGGCCCCCAGCGAGCTCCAGGCAGAGAAACGGGGCAGGGCCCAGGGACCGCCTGCCCGCCCGAGCTCTGCCCTGGGCCCGGCGCTCCTGGCTCGGCCGCTGCGGGTTCGGCTAGGTACCCCGGGCGCTTTGCGTGGGAGGCTGGGCCGGGCCGGGCCTCCAGAGACACCCCCCAACACACACCCCGAGTGGGACGGGCAGGGGCAGCTCCTGCCACCCCCAGCGCTCTCCGGGAGTAGGCCCGGCTCGACTCGGCTTCTGGCAGCCCGGACCCCCGCGCTCGGTATCTGGCGGCCCAGACCCCGCGGCGCGGCTCGGCTCGGCACCTGGCGGCCCGGACTCGCCCCCCCCCCGGCTCGGTACCTGGCGGCCCGGCCCCCTGTAGCGCCAGGTTGCGCTGCCGCAGCTTGAGGTTGCGCTTGTGGATCTTCCTGCGGAGCAGCCGCATGGGCAGGTTCCCGGCCGCCGCCGCCATCCCGCGCCGATCGCTGAGTCCGGCAGCGCCGCCGCACGTGGGCATCGGCCGGGCACAGAGCCGCCGGGGCGCCCCGGAACCGCTTCCCCCGCTCGCGCGGCCCGCAGCGGCCTCTAGGGGCCAGGAGGAGACACTGCGCTCGGGGAGCAGGCGCGGCGGGGAGGCTCAGCGGCACCGCCCTTCTCGGGGGGCTGCCAGGCCCGGCCCTGTCCCGCTCCGCGCCCCGAGCCCGGGTGGGGCTGGGCGAGCTCACAGTGGGGTGACGGGGGGAGGATGGGCTCCTCCGCCTCCCTCGGCCCGGAGAGGTGCTGCCAAGCGGAAGGGCAGTTGGGCAGTTTCTCCCCACCCCTGAGCCAGTCTCGGCTCGAGTCGTCCGTGTGGATCCCACCTATGGGGCACGCGCCCCCCCCCCCCCGTGTATGGGATCCACACCCATAAGGAATCTCAGTGAAGCGGTGACTGTAAGATACAGTTTTCAGTACAAATTCCGGGGGAAGGGGTATGTACGGCTATACATGCACACAGCAACCCCCCCCCCCCAGATCATGGATATGCACGCTGCATCATCTGTGCACAGCAACCCACACCACTGACACACCTACACTCACACACCCTCCATGCACAGCGACCCACAATATAGACACACCTATACACACCCTATCATCCACACACAGTGACCCACACCACAGACACATCACACACCCTCCTCCGTGCACAGCGACCCACACTACAGACACACCTAGACACACCCTGTCATCCACACCATAGACTAGGGTGACCAGACAGCAAGTGTGAAAAATCGGGACGGGGTGGGGGGTAATAGGTGCTTATATAAGACAAAGCCCCAAATAGCAGGACTGTCCCCATAGACACACCCTCCACGCACAGTGACCCACACCACAGAAACACCTCTACACACCCTCCTCCACACACAGCGATCCACACACAGACACGGCTACACACACCCCATCATCCATGCACAGTGACACACCTACACACACCTCATCACGCACAGCGACCCACAGCACACACACCATCATCCTTGCATACAGGGGCGGCTCTATGTATTTTGCCGCCCCAAGCACAGCAGTCAGGCAGCCTTCGGCGGCGCGCCTGCGGGAGGTCCGCTGGTAACGTGGTTTCAGCGGCATGCCTGCGGGAGGTCCGCCGAATTGCCGCCGAAACCGCAGGACCGGCGGATCTCCCAAAGGCAGCCTGACTGCCACCCTCACAGTGACCGGCACGCCGCCCCCCGTAGCTTGCTGCCTCTGGCACGCGCTTGGTGTGCTGGTGCCTGGAGCCGCCCCTGCTCGCATAGGGTTGCCAATTTTGGTTGGATGTATTCCTGGAGATTTCATCACATGACATAATCTTTAATTAAAGATTAATTCCTGGAGACTCCAGGACAATCTTGGAGGGTTGGCCACCCTATTCTCACACAGCAATCCACACAAGGGTTGTCAACCCTCCAGGATTGTCCTGGAGTCTCCGGGAATTAAAGATTAATCTTTAATTAAAGATTATGTTGTGATGAAATCTCCAGGAATATGTCCAACCAAAATTGGCAACCCTAACCTACACGACAGGACCCCTCATACACACACCCCATCATCCGCACACAGTGACCCACACCACAGACACACCTACACACACCCCATCATCCGCGCACAGCGACCCACACCACAGGCACACCTACACACACCCCATCATCCACGCTCAGGGACCCACACCACAGACACACCTACACACACCCCATCATCCACATACACTGACCTACACCACAAACACATCTACACGCCCCCATCATCCATGCGCAGTGATCCACTCCAAACTCCACTCCTCCCCACCTGCCATAGTTCAGATTACAGAGAATGAACAACATGCCGTATTATATTTTCAGGAATGAAATATAAACCTCTCACAAAGTGCATTTACTGTAAGCTTGTTTGCAAAGTGGCATTGCCTCCTTGGTTGAAAGTGTTTAATTCAAGTAGGGGAAATAAATGAATATATTCCCCATCATTCACCTCTGTGATCACATAGAATCATAGAACTGGAAGGGACCTCGAGAGGTCATCTAGTCCAGTCCCCTGCACTCAAGGCAGGACTAAGTATTATCTAGACCATCCCTGACAGGTGTTTGTCCTACCTGCTCTTAAAAATCCCCAATGATGGAGATTCCACAACCTCCCTAGGCAATTTATTCCAGTGCTTAACCTCTCTGATAGGAAGTTTTTCCTGATGTCCAACCTAAACCTCCCTTGCTGCAATTTAAGCCCATTGCTTCTTGTCCTATCCTCAGAGGTTAAGAAGAACATTTTTTCTCCCCGCTCTTTGGCCTGGTCCACACTACCCCCCCACTTTGGACTAAGGTACGCAAATTCAGCTACCTTAATAACGTAGCTGAATTTGAAGTACCTTAGTCCGAACTTACCGCGGGTCCAGACGCTGCAGGCAGGCTCCCCCGTCGATGCCGCGTACTCCTCTCGCTGAGCTGGAGTACCGGCGTCAACGGCAAGCACTTCCGGAATCGATCCCAGAAGATCGATCGCTTACATCCGGACCAGGAAGTAAGTATAGACATACCCTTTGTAACAACCTTTTACGTACTTGAAAACTGTTATCATGTCCCCTCTCAGTCTTCTCTTCCCCATGCACCCTTATTACATGGGGTTTGACACAGGGGAAAGGGAAAAATATTTCTGTAAGGGAAAAATATTTTTGGGGAAACCTTATTGGCAGCGTATCACTGCTTCATCCTATCCACAGGAGAGGCCAGTCAGACCAGCAACAGTGGCAGAAGTGAGATTGGGAAAACTGCTGCTGCTACACTGGCTCAGCTTCTTGCCAACAAATAAACATAGACTGTGGCTACACTAGGATTTTTTAGACCCAAGATTCCCAGTAGGTGTAGCTCCGCCAATGACAGTATCTGTGAAAGTGGTAGTGTAGAAAGGACTCAGGCATTTTCCACTAACAATGCTAAAATTCATGAAACTTTCAGAAATCTGGTCTCCTAGACTCTGACCATTGTGAGAATGGGCACAGATGTGCCTTCAATACGATCTAATGCTAGAGCCCTGGATCTTTACTGACCATCTGGTCCCTAGTGATGGGCTCCCAGAACTCACAAATCTCCTGAATCTTCACGAGCCAGCCAGTTCTTGCTCAGCCAAGTTTTAGAGCCTATCAGTTCCAGTGCATGAGCTCCTGGATCTTTATCAGGCAGCACTTTCCAACTGGCCAGCTGGATTTCCCAGCTGCTCCTTAGTCCAAGTGATGGGCAATGTGACCTTTCCTTATAATGTTCTCTTTCTTCTCAGCTCCCCATCCTCTTCCAAAACACTGATTCTATCAATTTGGAATAAAGATTACTCCAGGCACTTTGACCAGTAGGTGGCACAAATAGTACAAGAATTATACAGCAGGTGGCTTTGCCATCATAAACCAATAACTGCTGCATGGTCTTAAAAGCCTTAATTGCTACACACAACATAATTTTCAACCTATAATATCTTGATATAATGTGGATTAATCACACTATACAGAGCTATTACTATGTTAATTTCAGAACAATTATTACATATAACTTCTCATAAAAATTACTGATGTGGGAGGCAGAACAAAACTCAATTTTTGCCCTTTTCAGTTTTTGTTTTGAAGAGCTCCTGTGGCTCAGTTGGATGAGAATTAAAAATGCTAGTGTAACCTTCCAAATGACGGGAGCTACACAAGGATTTGATTTGACATATTCACAAGGTTTATATAAAGATTCAGGGTTGCCACCTTAACATTTCCCATTGTTAGATCCAGTCATTAATTCTTGACAAGTTTCCATCCCTAACTAAGGGTATGTCTACACTACGAAATTAGGTCGAATTTATAGAAGCCGGTTTTATAGAAATCGGTTGTATACAGCCGATTGTGTGTGTCCCCACATAAAATGCTCTAAGTGCTCTAGTCGGCGGACCGCGTCCACAGTACCGAGGCTACCGTCGACTTCCGGCGCATTGCACTATGGGTAGCTATCCCACAGTTCCCGCAGTCTCCGCCGCCCATTGGAATTCTGGGTTGAGATCCCAATGCCCGGATGATGCAAAACAGTGCCGCGGGGGGTTCTGGGTACATGTCGTCAGGCCCCTCCCCCTCCGTCACAGCAACGGCAGACAATAGATTCGCGCCTTTTTACCTGGGTTACCTGTGTAGACAACATACCACGGCAAGCATGGAGCCCGCTCAGCTCAGCTCACCGTCACCATATGTCATCTAGGTGCCGGCAGACGTGGGACTGCATTGCTACACAGCAGCAGCAGCTAACTGCCTTTTGGCGGTAGACGGTGCAGCATGACTGGTAGCCTTCATTGGCGATCTGGGTGCCGGCAGCCGTGGGGCTGGCAGCCGTGGGGCTGCATTGCACCAGCCCCCTTGCCTTTTGGCAGTAGATGGTTTATTACGACTGGTAACCGTCCTCATCGGACAGCAGTGGCTGTCAATCATGGGCACCTGGGCAGACAATGATGGTTATCAGTCGTAGTGTACTATTTTCTGCAAAGCACCCAGTTTTCTGCTAAGCACCCAGAAGAGGCCGAGGGCGATCTGGGTGCTGGCAGACATGGGGCTGGCAGCCGTGGGGCTGCATTGCACCAGCCCCCTTGCCTTGA